TGTAGCTTGTCCTGCAGGGCTGCTCTGACAGCTGTAGCTTGTCCTGCAGGGCTGCTCTGACAGCTGTAGCTTGTCCTGCAGGGCTGCTCTGACAGTTCTAGCTTGTCCTGCAGGGCTGCTATGACAGCTGTAGCTTGTCCTGCGGGGCTGCTCTGACAGCTGTAGCTTGTCCTGTGGGGTTGCTCTGACAGTTGTAGCTTGTCCTGCGGGGTTGCTATGACAGCTGTAGCTGGTCCTGCAGGGTTGCTCTGACAGTTCTAGCTTGTCCTGCGGGGCTGCTCTGACAGCTGTAGCTGGTCCTGCAGGGTTGCTATGACAGCTGTAGCTGGTCCTGCAGGGTGGCTATGACAGTTCTAGCTTGTCCTGCAGGGTTGCTCTGACAGCTGTAGCTTGTCCTGCAGGGTTGCTCTGACAGTTGTAGCTTGTCCTGCAGGGTTGCTATGACAGCTGTAGCTGGTCCTGCAGGGTTGCTATGACAGTTCTAGCTTGTCCTGCGGGGTTGCTATGACAGCTGTAGCTTGTCCTGCAGGGTTGCTAAGAGTCAGCGTGGACTCCATGGCTGTGAGGTTGGTATTTTTTAGCTACGTATTAAGCACTTGTTCACATATCATGTTGTTGCTGTTTTCTTACTTAGATTGGTTCATTAAAAATCCTGAAGGAAATCAGTCATAATCCTCAAATCAGACGTAACATTGTTGACCTTGGCGGCTTACCAATTATGGTTAACATCCTTGATTCGTCGAACAAGAATCTGAAATGCTTGGCGGCTGAGACCATTGCTAATGTTGCCAAGTTCAGACGTGCCCGTCAGGCTGTGAGAAAACATGGGGGCATCACCAAGCTGGTGAGTACTACTGACGTCACCACTTCTGCCCCTCACCCACTCATTCCCAGGTATGAAATAGCCTCCACGGTGTATTCTGGGAGTTGTCTTCTTGTACACATATCGTATGGCCTTCAATATCATTGTTTATCGATGTATGTTAGTTTGATGTTGAGGGTCCCTGAGTGCTTCCAATGATTTGCATTTAACTACTAAGCTACAGATGGACAGTTTGAGGCCCCTGCCCCTGCATTGGGTGAATCTGATGGGTAAAACAAGCGTTGAAAAGCAGGGGAGGCTACTTTGAGGACTAAGGTGCACTTGACCCAAGCCATGATCTTTTCGGTCTTCTCATGCGCATGTGAAAGGTGGACACTACATAAGGAAGACCATGCCTAAGAGTCAATACATTTGAATAATGGTGTTGGTGAAGGTTATTAAAAGTGTCAAACACGTCTGTCATGGAAGACACCTGGCCAGAATGCTCCTTAGACGTGAACTGGCAAGACCTCATCTCACTTCCTCTGGACATGTCGTCAGAGAGACCCGTCCCAGTAAACTGGAGAGGCAGCACACAAGGGGGGGGAGCATGACAAGAAGGATCGACACAGGGGCTGATTGAGAGGGTGAAGCGGGTCCAGGCAGTGTTTCATTCTGCTGTAGCCAGGTTCATGATGAGTCAGCACCAACTCATGGCACTCAACGACAGCACTTCAGAAGAAAGGTGTGACCCTCTGTTCCATCAGGATTCCAGCCGAGAAAGCACCCTGGGGCACGTCTGCTGGACAGCCCGCGGTTGCCGTGAGTTTGACTAAACTCCGCAGCCATGGGCGCTTATTTGACAGTGTTTGTAGTTGTTGATTGCTAATCTTTGCCTTTGAGTTGGCTCTGGCTCACAGCGAGTTTACGGCCAGCAGAGTGAACCCTGGCCCTACCCTGTGTCATTCTTTATGGCCAATGAACTATTCGGATATTGTGTCCATGGGCTCCTTCATTTGTGAAAACTAATGCAACAGTTGTATTGGCTTATAATTCACAAACCATGCAAGTCAGTGGTTCAGTCCTCTTATGAGGAGCTGTACAATCACCACCACAGTCAGTTTTAGAATATTTCCTTCCTTCTTGTACTCCCTGGCATTAGCTCTCTGTTTCACCACAACCCCCCATGCTATATCCTCAAGCAACCATTAATCCAGTTACAACCTCTATAGATGTACCTATCTCGGATTTCATATCTAGGAAAACATTTTTTTAAAAACCTGACAACAATAACAAACTAAAACAGAGGAAAACATCAATTGAAAAGAAAGCAGAAAATATTAAAAACCAGAACAAATTTAAAATACGTCAAAGGAAGATCAAAATGAAAAGGCGCCACATTTAAAAAAGATAAATCATTTTATTGGGTGCTTTTACAGCTCTTATAACAACCCATACATAAATTGTGCAAGCACATTTGTACATATGTTGCCATCATCATTTTCAAAACATTTTCTTTCTGCTTGAGCCCTTGGTATCAGCTCCTCTTTTTTTCCCTTCCTCCCCCGCCCTCCCACGGTTGTGGACCCTTGATAAATTATAAATGATTGCTATTTTAATATCTTACACTATCCGCTGTCTCCCTTCACCCATGTTTCTGTTGTTCATCCCCTTCACAGGTGATGGTGGTATTATACACCGCTCACTGTGATTGGTTCCCTCTTTCTTCCCCTTCTGCCCCCCATCTCCCCCCACCCTCATAGTATCACTACTCCCACTACCATTGCTGAGGGGTTTATCTGTCCTGGCTTCTGTGTGTCAAGAGCTCTTATGTGTACCAGTGTACCTGTTCCCGTCTAGCCAGATTTGTAAGGTAGAACTGGGGTCATCATTGTGGGGGTGGGGGTGGTGGATGAAGTAAGCGTTAAAGAATTAGAGGAAGGTTGTGTGTTTTGTTGGTAGTATACTGCCCTTTTCTTTGTGACCCTTCTGTGAAGGGATGTCAAATTATCTACAGATGGGTTTTGGGTCTCCATTCCAACCCCCTTGTTCACATCAGTATGATTGTTTTGGGTTTTTCTGATTCCTGATCCCGTCAACACCCCATGATCCCACAGGCTAGTGTGCTTCTTCCATGTGGGCTTTGTTGCTCCCCTGCTACATGGCTGCTTGTTTAACTTCAAGCCTTTAAGAACCCCGTTGCTATATCTTTTGATAGCCAGGCACCATCAGCTTTCTTTACCACATTTGCTTAGGTACCCATTTTGCCTTCAGTGATCATGTCTGGAGGCTGAGCATCACAGAATGCCAGGTTGTTAGAACAAAGTGTACTTGTGTTGAAGGAAGGCTTGAGCACAGGCCAAAAGTTGATCCACTTTCTCAGTGCATTGCCATATAAATATGTGCACATAGACCAATACCTCTATTTTTATGAAGTAATATATTTACATAAGTGAACACCTATGTTTATCCCTGTATCCATAGCTTTGCTTCCTAGATCTTTCCTCTGTTTCCTTTTACCTTCCTTATGCTCCACCATCACATTTGCCTTTCTTCTGCCTTTTAGTAATTCCTCTCAGCTAGATTGTTGTTGCTGCAACTTCACTAGGATCTCTACATCCTCCTTGTAATTGCTTTTAGTTCCCTAGTTGTTCCCCCCATCTCTGGCGTTGTTTGGTCATCACTCCTTTCTCCCCTCCCCTAGGTCCCTCTGGAACCTTCGGTCTGATTGCTCTCTCCTCAGGCTTGCTTCCCTTGCCTGTCTTATATAGATAGGCAAAACAACTATAGCAGAGACAAAACAAAAAAAAAATAAAAGATTGAATAAAAGGAGAAAAAAGAAAGGAAAAAGCATACATAATTCTAGCTCTGTCTGCTGACTTTATGGCTCAGAAACAACTTTATAATGGGTCCAGAGGGAGTTCAAACGATAAGATATTACATTTTAACCTAACGACTTCTGCCATAATTGACTTTACAGTGGCTCTCTGTCTGATAATATGGCTACCCACTTCCCTCAACTGTGATCAGAGCGGCTTCAGTGGAGGCCTACAAATGGATTTTGGGCTTCCACTGTCATCCATAGCCTTCTGAAAACTAGGTGTTCTCAACTTGAGCTCTGATGTCATTCCCTCCTCTGGATTTGGATTTTATGATTTACAATCCTTGGATCACACAGGCTGGTATGCTTTTTCCATGTGGACCTACTTGATGCCTCACTTAGATGGCTGCCTGTTTGAAGACAAGCCTTTAGAGGGTCTCCCTCTTTTTGGTTGATACTCAGTTTTACTAAACCTGATATCATTATCCAGTGACTTTTCTTTCCCGGTGGCATGTCCAAAGTAAGCATGCTGCAGCTTTGCCACCCTCACTCCTAAGGAACATTCTAGTTGTATTTCCTATAAGATCAGTTCATCCACTCTTCCAGGGATCATCACCAACACCACAATTTGAAAGCATTGATTCTTCTGTTTTCCTTTCCCACTGCCCAGCGGCAAATAGCCAATAAACAAGTGCAACGTCACTTTTCAAAGAAATACATATTTAAAAAATAAAATGCCATTTTCACCTCCCATCTTGTTAGGGATGTGTGTGTGTGTGTGTGTGTGTGTGTGTGTGTGTGTGTACGCACACTAGAACCTGCTCCCTGGAAGGCAGCCTGGTAATGTGTACTTGCACCATAGTAACCTTTGCCTTCGAAAGCAGTTGTCTCTCTGGGAACACTCATTGCCTCCACAGCTGCAGACAGAGACTTACTCATCCCACTGTTAGCTATGAGAAGGAGAACGGAAAATGGGCTTATAGGTTTTCAGGAGTCCAGTTAAATAGCTTTGCAAAAAATCCATAGAAAATCCACAATCAGCTATTAGTCTGGCATTTTGGAAGTATATTTAGTAGCAAAGAATGAAATGCACCACATTTAATGTTATATCAAATCAAAATACAATTTAAAACTCTTGGCCCCTGTGATCCCGTCTCAAAGACTCACATGTACATAGAGAACAAAAAAAGAAAACTAGGTAGATATGCACAGGATTTTTGACAGCAGTTTTCTCTGATTTTCCCTCACATTTTCCTGCATTTGTTGTTCCATCTTCTTCATGCCTTTTCCATCAGACAGAGTAATGATTTACATAGCTATCTGAGGAGGGGGGAAAGGTCATTTTGCTCAGTTCCCTTGCCCTGGCAGGAAAGACCATGAAAAATTAAATGCAATAAGGAAATGCATATTCATCTTCTGTAGTAAGGATTAGTGGAACTTGGATCTCTCCCACAGCTGTAACTGAACTGGACCGCCTCTGTGTTCAGTTCCTTACGGGCAATGTCTTATTCATGTCTTTTATTCATCCATGTCTTATTCATGTCTCTTTATTCTTAGTCTCTTTCACAGCACTTAGCCCAGTGCCTCTTACATATAAAGGGTTAATGCATATCTATTGACCTGCCATGAATTTTTAATGAGGATACATATGTTGTGAAATGTGTTCAGAAATTGAACGTGAGACTCTGTAGTCACTTGTCATCTGTGAAGGACTATACAATATTTGCTTCAAAGATAGATGAACGCATAGCTGTATGTGTTGTTGTTGTTGTTGTTGTGTGTCCTAGCAATGGATAGAACAGAGTCGAACTGCCCTAAAAGGTTTTCAAGGTGATAATATTTAAAGGGAACGACTGTCAGACCTTTTCTCCCACGGAGCCATGAGTGAGTTTGAACTGTAGATCTTTCTGTTCACAGTCGAACGCTTTAACGATCATGCCACCAGGGTTCCTTGATGGATGTGTAGATGGTTAGATCAGTGATAATGTTCCGCAAATGTTCATAACACAACTAAGGTAGTGGCTATGTTAGTGTTTGCTGCACACGTCTTAGATTGTATGTTTGTATGTTTGATGTAGGCCGATATTGTTCATTGAAGCAGTTCCATCTGCCATCACATGATAAGCGTGAATCGTGTAATCCAAACTCAATGTGTATGACTATGAGCTGCATATATGGGGTTTCCATAAGTTTAAAAACAACACCATCATTTTGGAAACCTGGCATTTGGACAATTGTACTAATTTAGTGAAGCCGATGATCTCGCATGTAAATGTAATTTTAAACGACAGTAACATTAGGGACAGGAAAGCTCAGTAATGGAAACAACATGCTTATTATTGCTGGTGGAGAGCCTATCTGAGAAGGATCAGAACTGGGACCTGGTTCAGCTTCCTTGACATGGGTGGGAGTAGACGATATAAAACATACAGGCCACAGCCCCTTACCAGATTGGAAGTGAGAGCGACCATGCACTATGCAAACAAGAGAGGCCATTGGATGCTATCGGGGCAAGTGAGCTGGGGCCACACTTAGAGTGGGCAGGAAGCCACTGGCCGGAGTGGGATATAACACCTTGAGGGACATCAGTCCATGGAGAGACACCCAGGGTGAGACTGTGGGTAAAGAACAGGGCCTCTGAGCAAACAAGATTGCTCTGGACAGGGATGCAGGCACTCAGTGCTGTGCCAGCCTTCACATCTCTTTGTCCCCTGACACTTTCATCTGACAAGAGTTTACTGAATGGTACTATGAGCTCAAGGAGCCTTAGTGTCACAGAGGTTAAGCACTTGGTTAAGAAACCCACATGCAACTCTGCAGGAGAAAGGCCCGGCAGTGTGTTCCTGTAACAATTACAGCTTAGAAAACCCCATAGGGTCGTTCCACTCTGCCTCACAGGAAGGCCATGAATTGTCTAATAACAAGCACACTATGGGTCAGTGCCAGGGATATAAGTAAATGTACAAGGGGGCTTTAAAGAGTTTTGGGAGGTGGGGAGGTGGGCAATTCCTTGATCTTTTCATTCCCTTTTGCTATAACCTTTCTGATGTGCCCTCCTATGCCCCTCACCACAGTCAGACCGCAGCGTAGTGCTGGTGGAGATGGAGGGCAGGGAGACTGTAGTATAGATGAAAAAATAAGTGTAACCGTGTCTTTCCTGTCTGTAACTGAAGTCTGTCCTGGGCATCGTGGAGGAACGAAATGGTGGTGGGAGTTTATCCCTTGATTGCACTCTGAGAAAGACCTTCTGGAACCACTGAAGAGGGAGGTACTGCTTGAGGCAGAAGTGGAGCAGACCCTCGTGTGGCCAACATACCCGTGAAAGCACTTTGGGGGAGACAACCGGGCTTGGGAAAGTTCCGAGCGGAGAACCAGCATCGGGTATTTGGAAATTGTCCAGCGGGTTCATGTGACCCCACCGAGTGTGAGATGGGCTGAGGAGTGGAACAGGAGGAGGCAGGACCCAGGATGGTGCAGGTTCCCAGGACTTACTTCTAAGAGGCCTTTTGATAAAGTCCCCACTGCCAGCCTCTGTGCCAATTTGAACTGGCAACCTTTCAGCTAGTCGCCACGTGCTTAACCATCTGTCCTACCCAGAGGTCCTATGTAAATACCAGAGCTTATTTTGAAGATGCTCTCTTGGAGGATTCAGTTTTGTCGTGGTGGTGGCTGTTGTAGAGGGAAATATCAAAGCCACCAAACTTGGAGACAAGTGTCATGCGTGACTTAGTTTGGGTCTTTGCTTCCAATAATCCGCTTCGTAGTTCGCTCCTCTTTTTTGATGGAGGCAAGCTCCGCAGCAGCCCTGGAGCTGTCAAAGGGTGCATGGAGTGTATGCTCCGGCCCGCTGTGCGCATTGTGTTGCTCTCTTCCTGTAGGTTGCTTTGCTGGACTGTGGACAGATTTCCGTGGAACCTCCTCAGCCCTCGCTCTACGAGACCAGAGACGTAGAGGTGGCCCGTTGCGGTGCGCAGGCGCTGTGGAGCTGCAGTAAGAGTTACTCCAACAAAGAAGCCATTCGCAAAGCTGGGGGCATCCCCTTGTTGGCCCGGCTGATGAAGACGTCGCACGAAGACATGTTGATTCCAGTGGTGGGGACCTTGCAAGAATGTGCCTCCGAGGTACCCAGGCCAGATCTGCCTCCCTTCCCTTCTCATACCTGGACTTAGCCTTTAGAGTCCCTGGGTGGTGCCAACAGTCAGCACTTGGCTACTCACGGGAAGGTTCGAAGGTTTGAACCCACCCAGAGCCAGTTCGAAAGAGAGGCTTGTGGATCTGCTTTCTAAAGGTCGCTGCGCTGCAAACCCATTGGAGCAGCCCCACTCTGTCCCCTGCGGTCACCACAGGCAGAGTTGGCTCACTGGGGACTGAATGGATGCGATTGGTATTCTCTTTTGGTTTCTTTAGTGGAAAAACATATTTTTAAGGTGACTGTGACTGCCAACAGGACCCCTGGTGGCATTGTGGGTGAGGCATTGCCCTGCAAGTCTAACAATTCAACCCAAATAGATGATCTGCCGGAGCAAGATGAAGCTGTCGGCGCCTGTGAAGATGCATAGCCTCAGAAACCCCATCTGGGGTGTCTACAAGTCACAATCACTGAGGACAGTGCATTTGGGGGGTGGGTGGGTGAGTCAGGGTTCTTTCAGAAACATAGGTCAAAATTAATAGGACATTAATTAAATCAATACCCCTGTGACAGATTTTAAAAATACTTGATTGGACGTTCATACTGTTATGTAGAAATGTTGGGTTTCGAGGTTGGCATCTTTTACTAAGAAAGTTTGTTCAGAAAAAAATTGCACTGTGATAAACAACTGGGATTGTTTTTGTAATCTAAATAAAGCTTCTCCCCTATGTCTATTATGCTTTCCCTTTGTAATAAAGAAATGAATTCTCTGCCGATTCTGAAAAAAAGTATTGGTCCAACTTATTTTAAACGGGCTCCTTGTGGTGCATGTGTACATGCAGGCTAAGACCAGAGGAAGTTCGATTTCTCCTTTCGTCTGACATAATTTTGGGGAGAGACTGAGGGAGGTGACATGGAGAAGCAGGAATAGACTATTCGGAGTTTCTTTCCACTGGCTCTGCTAGGCCTGTGATCTGACTTGCTCCGAGTTTCCATGGCCCGAGAATGATTTTTACTAATGAGTAGGGAAGATCCGGATTCATTGTTGAAGTTCAGAAATCACTGATGGAGTAAGGGAAAGGAAGCTATGCCCCAAAGAAACACCCAAATCCGTATTTAAAGCAGGTTGTTTGTGTATCCATTTCTACTCCTAGGAAAACTACCGAGCTGCCATCCGAGCAGAGCGGATCATTGAGAACCTGGTGAAGAACCTGAACAGCGAGAACGAGCAGCTCCAGGAGCACTGTGCCATGGCCATCTACCAGGTCTGCTGAGCTCATAAGGCCACGTGGTCGCCTCCGTCCTAGAGTGGACAGCCACTTGTTTTCTAAACACGCGGTCTCATTCTCTGGGGAGGGAACTCAGGACTCCACATTGCTAACAAGCACCCTGGTGTGGGGGAGGGGGGATGTTCGTGCACATAGAGATTCAAGAACCAAAGCGAGAAGGGCAGAGAGAATGTGATGGCTTTGGGTTTCTAGAAGAGACAAGACCACCTCTGTGTCCCTCCTGAAATAATGTACTTGGTATGAAATTGTGAAGCAACTAGAAGGTCCCTCTGCATTGCTTTTCCTAGATCCAGTCTGAACACACGGGGTTCTGGTGGTTCTGTGGTGGAAGTTTCTCCATCTGTGCAGGAGACTCCGTTCTGCCCCCAGCCAGTTCAAGTGCTGCCACCACACACTCATGTGGGTGGAGGGGCGGGTAGGGGTGGGCGAGGGGTGTTGTATGTGGCTATGATGCTGAATAGGCTTCCGGGCAACTTCCAGACTAAGATGAACTAGGAGGAAAGGCCTGGCAGTTGACTTCCAAAAACCAACTGCAGAAGGCCCCCGTGGTCCAATCTGTGACCCGTCCTGGGGGTGTTGTAGCACTGGGCTGTGGTTCATTCAGCTGAGCTCCCGGTGTGAGGCAGGTGGCTGACCTGACAGCTAGCATCAATTTCCACCCCATAACCTTGGGATAGATCAAGGAGTGGGTTCCTGGGTGATCTTTTTTATTAACTTCATTAATCTTCACACGCTTCCTGAAGATGACCACTTTCATAGATACCAGAGGTTGGGTTAGATTAGTAAGGGGGAACGATGACCTTAGCAAGTTAGCATAATAAGCTGTGCCAGCTTTGACCTAACTAGAAGGGAATCCCTAGAGCAGTGGTTCTCAACCTCCCTCATGCTTCGACCCTTTAATACAATTTTTGTTGCTACTTCATAACTGTCATTTTGCTATGGTTATTAAAGGGTTGTGTGAAAGGCTCCTCTGACCCCCAAAGCGGTCGCAACCCACAGGTTGAGAACCGCTGGCCTAGATGAATGCACTTAGCATGAGCCAAGGGCGATAGGGAGCTGAGAAGACCACGTCAGAGAAGTGGCTCATTCTAGTCGAGGATGTGCATTGTGGGAGCGGCCACCGAGGGTCTGTTAGAAATAGGGCTTCACCTTTAGAAGCTGCCAGAGAATCACAGCTGAAAGTCACATGCAGAAGGTGGATGTGACAGAAACATGACCCTTGTTGGCGCTGTTGGCGGTTTCTTCTGGTGGCCCTGTGAATAAATGACCCAGGATCCACCCCTGTGTCCTGTGGCACCAGGAAATAACCACGCTAAGGATAATCACCACATCAATATTAAATGAATCACCCTTTGGCTGTCTAACCTGGGAGCAATGATCAGTTGGGGAAAAAACTCTATGCATTAAATGTTTATTGCAAAGGCTAGCCCCAACACGTGGATAAACACGTGCTTGCATAAGAACTCAGGTGCTCTGAAGAGCAGCACAGAGACTCTATGGGGAAACTTCTTCATCTCTTCTATTTGGGGTCATTGGCTGAGCTCAAATCCCTACTGCTCATTTGTCTTCTCCCCTATGTTTTCACAAGACACTCGGGGTCATCCCTGGAGCACCATGCTGTCCGTGCATGGCCATGTTCTGGGCTTTCACTGACCCTTGCGGCTCTCTTGGTGGAAGCCCAGGCTGCTGTGGCATGGGCTTGGGAGGATGGCCAGGTGTGTGGGAGCCTCATTGCCAAAACCACTTCCAGAGGAAGACACGCTGTCAGAGCAAAGAATGATGTTTTCCTTGGAGGCCGCTTCGGAAAGTGATCCCCTCTGAAAAGTAATGTAATAGCTGTTAGCATAGCAGCCCCCTTAGCAAATGCTGGGAGCTTTGTCATGCTTTGACCTTGACAGCCTCTGGTTGCCTTGTGTGTGTGTGTGTGTGTGTGTGTGTGTGTGTCCGTCCAGTGTGCCGAAGATGAGGAGACCCGGGACCTGGTGAGGCTGCACGGAGGACTGAAGCCCCTGGCCAGCCTGCTCACTAAAACAGACAATAAGATGCGGTTAGCAGCCGTCACGGGGGCGATATGGAAATGCTCCATCAGCAAGGAGAACGTGACCAAGTAAGAGAAGATGCGGAATCGTCCCTAATACAACCACGGCCACTTGAAACCCAGCCTTGTCATTTTAACGGCGCCCAGTCTAATGCTACCTCAGTAGATTTCAAAGAAGCACATGCTGGATTAAGTTGGTTTAAGAAAGAGATGCTTAAAACCGAAAGACACTGCACCACGGCCCTACCACTGGACAGTGGTTTCCTTGGCCTCTGTGAGAGCGGTCATGGGTCAGTGTCAGCGGGAGAGCTCTGTCCCTCCCTGTGGGAGACCTGGGTTCATTTTATGGCCCGGGACCTCATGCACAGCCACCCTGCTCTTTCAGAGGATGTGGAACAGATTTGGGGGGAACTTCCTGAGTCAGACAGGCGAGAGAGAGCGTCTGGGGATCTATTTCAGAGCACCAGCCCCTGAGAGCCCCGTGACCCTGTTGCGCCTGGGGGGTCCCCATCAGTGGGCACATCGGCAGGCCGATAGGAAGCACATCAGGGCAAAGGGGCCCGCTGAGCTCATCTCTCCTGGAGGGAGAATGGTTTGCACAAGAGTCTCCATTTAAATTTGAAACAAGGCAGGTGTTTTCTCTTGAGAGCTTTCCAAGTGGGGACGGATTTCGCAGACTCTTTAGATCCAGAAACGGTTTCGTTCTCCTCCCTTTCCCAGAGATGGCCGGGACATGGGCTAAATGCCAGCCTCGCAGTCACCCTCAAAGAGGACCCATCTGCACACGTGACTTCACAGAGCTCCATTCAAAAAGATTGATACACTTTATGACCATTTGATTGGTTTCCGTCCTCATGCGGGTCTCTAAGTGCTGACACCCTCGGGATGGGTGTCCTGGGACAACTCTCTCCCTGTCTCCCTTCCTTCAGCAAGCAATCCCCAGGCCCTGCACATCTCGCGCACCGCAGGCTTGCTTAGTAGCAGAGAACGCATCAGAAGGAAGGGTTTGACTACGTTGAAAGTTACCTTAGGTAAACCCACGTTTCACTTGAATACAAGTTACCTGTCCTGATAAGGAAAGGCTTAGATGTTGGGCAATCTAACTGTTGGATATATTTCCAAGTGGACATTTGGACCCACTTAGAGGAACCTCAGGACGGTGGTATAGCCGTGGGTCATGTGTTGGGTTGCTTGCCCCGATGTCAGCAGTTCAAAGCCACCAGCTGCTCCTAGGGAGAAAGAGGAGCCCTTCTATTCTACTCCCACAAAGAGCGAGAGTCTCAGAATCCCACAGGGGTGTTTTCTACCCTGCCCTATAGGCCCCAATGAGTCAGAATTGACTGGATGGCAGAGTTTGGAAATTTTTTTGACATGTTGCTCAAAAAAAAAGAAAGAAAGAAAAGAAATGTCTGATGATCCGTCTCTAAAGTCACAGGCCTGAGAAGCCCCTGGCTTACAATTCTACTCTTCACCCTTGGGGTCAAAATCAACTCCTAGTAAGCCCATGGTGGGTGTCGGGGGTGGGACAGGGCCTTTTAAGTTACCTTAAAAACCCCAGTTGCATCTACGTGGGGTCACTGAGAGGGGACTGACTTGAGGACACCCAATGACGGGAACTGTACCATCACCCGTGGTCCTGGCTGGGTAAGAGGAAACTTTGGGGTTGGAGTTGGACAAACCAGAACCAGCCCATACTTGGCTCTCAGGAACTTGGTCGGTTTGGACAAGTTGCTTTCCATCCCACCTGGGTGGCTCCTGTTTTGGATGAGTTGAGATTAGGATGTTGTTTTCGTGGCAACCTCCTGTGGATTTAAGTGGAATTGTTTTCAGAGGGCTTTCTCTGCCATGACCTTTCAGACGTGGACTGCCAGGCCTGTATTCCAAGGTACTCCTGGGTGGGTGTCAACAATCAACTTTTTGCAGTGAGCACTTAATCACAGGCACCACTGGGGCGGGCCTCTTTGTTCCTCTTTTTAAAATAACTTGGAACAACACCAATGGCCCAGCAGAAAGGCGGTGGGGATTAGAGATTCGAATTAATTTATGTACTCTCTGTAGAGTGCTTGACATATTGAAGATCCTTGAAACGTGATGTTTTGTCCATGATACTATTCAAAGGCTGACCCTAGGCAGGACTGGGGGTAAGTAAGACTTGGCAAATATTTTTTTTGTGTGTAGGGCCTAAAAACTCTCAGAAATCATTAAATTTAGCTTCACCTGGAATTAAAAAAAATAATAATCAGCTGCATCGTAGTGCTTGAAAATGCTGCTGGACTTTCTTTCGTAGATAAGGGAACATGTTCTGTATAGACGAATGCTCACTTTTATGTAGCGTCTTTCCTCGTGGTTTTTTTTGTAGCAGAAAGGCGAAAGTACACAATAAGAGCGATGCTAAATTTTTTTAGTGGAAACTACTAAACTCTCGGAGGGTGAATGAATTTTTTTTTTTAACCCAAGTAACACAAGGTTCTACTTGTTTAGAAAGGTTTCTTAAATCCGGATCGGTACAATTGATCACATCTGATGGACTGAAAACACAGACCGATGTAGTTAATTTGCATTAGATGTGTGAAGTAGTCTCTGTAAGAGGGGAGACTGATGGAGGTCTCTCAGCAGAGTGGAATTGTAGACTCTAGGCTCCTGTCATCTCTCCAAGCCTCTGGTTGACCACCCACAGTGGGGATTCCCATGGTCCGCACACTGTACCAGAGGATCACCATGAGATGGAGGAGCCCTGGTGATACAGTTGAACTTAGTTTGGTTACTGAAAGACTGGTGATTCCAAGCCAGCCCATGGCCTTTTGGAAAACAGACTAAGCCACCCAGTTTTAAGAAGGATCTCCCCGCATCACCCGCTGCCATCAAGTCAGTTCTGACTCATAGAAGACCCTGCCTCATACCGAGCATGACTGCCCCAGAGGGTTTCCAAGGCTGTGAATCTTTACAGGAGCAGACGCCCCAGCTTTCTCTCACAAAGCAGGCTGGTGGCTTCAAACCTCTGGCCTTTCAGATATCAGTCGAGCACCTAAGGACTCCTCCCAGTCTAGGCTGCTCTATGGCCCGTTAGGAGTTGAAATCCACTTGACCGCAGGCAGCAACCACAACTAAATAGGCATTTGGTCTTGGTATCTAGTGTGTTAAGCTATTATTAATATAGGCTGCTATTACTATTGGCTAACTTCATACTAAGTCATACTGTTTCTCCCTCCTCTTTCCTTGTATTTCTCTCTCTTTTTTTCCGGATGAGCGTAGGTTTCGTGAATACAAGGCCATTGAAACCTTGGTGGGACTTTTAACCGATCAGCCTGAAGAGGTCCTGGTGAACGTGGTTGGCGCCTTGGGAGAGTGCTGCCAGGAACACGAAAACCGCGTCTTAGTGCGGAAATGTGGCGGCATCCAGCCACTGGTGAACCTGCTCGTGGGAATCAACCAAGCCCTTCTCGTGAATGTCACCAAAGCAGTCGGAGCCTGCGCCGTCGAGCCCGAGAGTATGATGTAAGTGGCCCCAGAGGCGCAAAGATGTTGTGCGAGGGCTTTGTAGGAAAGAGGAGTGGTGGTAGCACAGTGCCCTCTCTTAGAACCGGTGTGCAAACATGATGAAATACAAACTCGGCTTATATGTAAGTAACCACAAGCTGGGCAAATCACAGCTTATAGAGCCGAAAGATGGCCCGGAATGAGCTGAATAGCTAAGGTTGGCGATTTTAGGCAGATTATACCAGGCTCACCTAATATGCCCACGCAGAGCCATCCATCTCTTTTAAGGCACTTTGACCATACCCAACAAATCCTTGGCAGCAACGTGGGCTAAGCATTGGACTGTCTTCTCTCATACAGGTTTGCAGTCTCAGAAACCCAAAGGGGCAGTTCTATTTAGTCCCATCGGATCGATAGGGCTGGAATTGACTCGAAGGTAGTAGGTTTGTTGTTGTTTTAGATAAGACTCGGTGATTAACTGTCTTGTGCCAGAGACCTTGATTACAATCAACAGCATTTCCATCTGTCTCCTGGGCAGAATCCATCCATCCATCTCCCCTCTTTTCCCCCCTTGCGCCCCCACTAGCTCTAGGAGACGTTCTCACCACATTCTTGTCCCGTTGAATTCAGCAGATAGGTGTTGAGCATCTACCACTAGCTGTGCCCTGATGAGGGGAGGAGATAAAGGACCTTTGAAACTGTCATCTTGTCCAGTTAGGAAGAGATTTGAATGGGGTACTTTTAGGGACAATAGGAAGATTAGAGATAACCATGGAGCGACAGACTAGCCCTGTTCCATGGGGCTTCCTGGTCTGGGTTCTCTCAGGAAGCGTTGTCCCAGGCCTTCCTTCTACGGAGCTCTTGAGTCCCAGAGTTATCAGTGGAGCTCCAGGCCACAAACCCTTGTGCCAGCGGTGGCCTAGACAAAAATGATATATTTATTCATTTCAGAAAGGGGTTACCCCAGGGGGATCAAAGCCACCACAATGGATTCTGCAGAGAAGTGCGGCTTCAGTATATCCATAAGACTAGGATGTATTTAAATGGGTGGAAAAGAATGAATATGCAATTGAGGGACCACATGATGAGAGGCCTGAGCCACAAGGGAATATGCTTTCATGGACAAAAGCAAGAGTGAGCAGAGCAATTTGAGGAAGAGGGTAGATAGTAGGAGATGAATCAATATTGGAGACGAACTCAATTGATGGAGGGACCTGGATGTCCATGTTACCTTTCCTCTGGAGTTTTGCCGGCATCTAACCTAACAGGTGTGATCGAGGAATACTGTCTCCATCCTCCCCTTACTGATGCTGGATGGAGATAAGGTGTGGGAGGCAGATGTACACTCAGTCTCCTTACCCTGTCTCGACCCCACCGCAACCCCCGTGACTCCTCTGACTCCTTTCCAGGAAGGAGAGAAACAGCTGTGTGGATTCAGACAGTGCTGATCAGGAGACGTTTTCAAGATATGAAACTGATCAAACATTTGTAATTTACATTTGGTCGATTGGGCAGAGTTTAATGAAAGGGTAGTACAGAGTTTACGTGTTTATAATACATTATATTTTTAATTTGGAATTAATTATTGTAATATATATATATATACACAAACACAAGGGGACTGCAAAAAGTTTGGGGGGAAATTGAATGAAAAGAGAATGGAATTTTCCCACAAACTCTTTGAAGCCCCCGTGTGTGTGTGTGTGTGTGTGTGTGTGTGTGTGTGTACATTCATTCATTCAGCTCATTTAGCATGTGTGGCCTGGCACCCAGGACTGCTGTTTATGGATTTGCCTTGCACAACTCAGTGGTGGTGATGGGGCACCATACACTGGCCATACACGGGACTCTGCAGACAGGCACAGGCACCATTTCCCATGGGATCATTCCAGACGGCGTACGCCCTATGCTATTACTCTGGGTTATGAGCTGGGATATGAACCACAAGACCAGCAGTCTGACACCAGGGAAGAAAACGAGGCTGTTTGTCACACAAAGGTTGGCAGCCTCGCAGACCCGGGGGCAGGTGGACTCGCTGTAGGTCAGAATGGACTTGAGGACGGAGAGACTCGAGCCGAGTATTCCGGTCAGGCCTTCTTCCTTCAGCCCACGTTGCTGGTATGTGAGACAGTCGGCATTTGTGTTCTGTGATTTGGGCCCTGTTCCTTCGTAGGAAAGCCCAAACACTAAGATAGGCGTACCCACTGCCCGTGAGCCTGTTCCGACCTGTAGTGACCCCGCCTTTACCAGGCTGAGAATCACTCAGGGTGTAGATGGTGCCATCTTTCTTCGGCTGGTGGGTTTGAACTTCTGACTTTGTGATTAGTAGTCCAACACCTAACCCAATCCTCCATCAGGAATAGAACTTTGTTGAGTCTATTCTATTTTGTCAGAACTAACTAACTTACTAACTAACTAACTTACTAACTAACTAACTAACTAACTTACTAACTCAATGCCATCGAGTCGATGCCAACCCTATAGGACAAGCTAGGACTGCCCCTGTGGACTTCGGAGATGAACTCTTTAGAGTACAGAGTCGAAAGTCCTGTCTTTCTCCCAAGGAGTGACTGGTGGTTTCAAACTGCTGACCTTGTGGCTCGCACTCCAATGCTTTCCCTAAACACGTGTGGCACACCGTGCATAAGTCATTTTGAATCTGGCTCCTGGAGACATACCCTCAGGTTTTAGACAGGAAGAAACACGAGTTGCACACATAATAACTTTGAAAGAATAATGGTGGCTGGATTTATTTTTTTTTAGAGCAATCTAATGTTTATTTATCTTTTAAAAACACATAGGGTACTCATTTATTGTGGTTGCTAAGTACCAGTGAGTCAGTTCCTAACCAGAGTGGCCCTGTGCACAACACAGCAGAACACTGCCGGGTCCTGCCCCACGCTCCTAAGTGCGATGTTGGAGCTCGTTGCTGCAGCTACTGTGTCACTCCTCACTCTTACTCTCCCACGGGTCAGACAAGCTTATTGTCCAACCTTCCCAGTTGTCAATTCGAACACTTATCGACAACCTTTTTAAAGAACACCATATCCAAGGAAAAATACTCTTTACTAACTGAGCCTAATCATTGTTTAGTTTTAAGATGACTTTTCTTTTTTTTAATGGCTGAATAGTATCGTATTTTTAAAAATTATTTTATTGGGGGCTTGTACAATTCTTATCACAATCCATACTTGCATCCATTGTGTCAAGCACATATATACATTTGTTGCCCTCATCATTCTCAAACATTTTGCCTTCTACTTTAGCCCTTAATATCAGCTGCTCATTTTCCCCCTTCAAGATGACTTTTCAAGGGATAGTTTAGCCTTAAGATTTAAAGATGATCTCCGGACAATAGTTTTGGGCAAGCCATCAAGCCTTAGTGGCTCCAGAAAGTGTGGATTCCAGGAGAGTTTAAAATTCTGTTCCACATTTCCTCCCCTTTTATCTAGATATTTTATTCACTCTTGGGTCAAATTATTCAGAAATGATAGTCATTTCTACCCCCACCCATAGAAGCTTTACCATTTTCATCCCCACCATAAATATATGCACCCAACGATTACAACTTTCCCACTCTTGCCACCACTTACTAGTTTCCATTTGTTGTTTGATTTTTTAACTCAGACATCCTGGGGGATGAAGTGGTCTCTGTTGGTGTTTTTGACTTGAATTTCTCTCGATGACAGGGATTGTCTCGATGGTGACAGGTCGGCTTTGGCTTGATGGCTAAGAACACTGGCTGTCTTTTCATGTGTTTGTTGGTTATTTGAATCCTCGTTGGTGAAATGTTCATTCAAGCCCTTTGACACTTTTCTGGTTATTTATCTTTTTGTTATTGTTGTCAAGGTGAAGAAGTTATATATATATAACCCCTAGGTATTGTGCATAGATATATACACACACACATATACATTCATATATATATGTATGTTCCCTAATAAAATACATGATTCCCAAAACTATCCTCTCAACCTTTAGGTTGTTTTCTTATATTTTGTTTGCTAAAACCCTTTGGTGAACAAAAGTACTTAATTTGTGTGAGAGTCTATTGATTGATTTTGTCATTTGCTGCTTATGCTTTTGCTGTTATGCCAGAAATTTATGCCAGGGTTTGGAAGGCTAGAAGGCGAATTTCAGAGTACTGGCTGTAGGGGAGGACTTTCTCTCTGTTGTTGGTTCCGGGGAAAGGTCCTTGTCTCCTTTCAACATCTGTGAGCCTGATGGCCCTTAGAGATATCTCCATGTGTGTTGGCACCAATCTTCCCTGGGTCTAGAAGTTTCGTGTTGCAGTGACCCCAGGTCCAAAGGATCAACTACACTCCTGATTCTTCTTTCTTGGTGGTAGTAGATTTCTCTGATCTCTGCTCAATTCTATCTCTTTTCATTTCTTTCAAAACAAAAGGTTTAGCAAGACACAGGCCAAGGAAACCCCTCTTACAACTGATCAGGGCTGTGTTGGGTCCCACCCTTAATCCTCCTATTAGTTTATCACATCATGGGGGAATCATGACAGAACTGCTACATTACATCATTCGGTAACTGGCAAGCCACCAAGAATCCTGGCCCAACCACATTGACAAATGCTTTAGGGGACACAATTCAATCCGTGACAGATCTTTAATCCATTCTGAATTGAATTCTGTGTATGGTATAAGATATGGCTCCTGATTCATTCTTCAACATTTGAAAATCCAAAACTTTCCAGAATCATTTATTAAAGAAAAAGAAATCACTGCCATCAAGTTGATTCCAACTCACTGGAACCCTAGAGGACAGTGGTGGTGGTGGTGGGTGGGGTATAAGAGCGAGACAATGTCAAGGAGTCCAGGCAGGAAAAGAATGCTTGGAACCTGATTGTGGTAGCAATTGTACAATACTGCTTGATGTGATTGACCTATGCAATGATATGATATATGTTTTAACTCCCAATTAAAAATAAATTAGAAACAAACAAACAAAAGCTAAGGCTAGGGTGACAGACTGCCTCATAAGAGTAACAGATAGAACAGGGGCCA